GAGAGAGTCAGCGTCGGGGTGTGTGTGTGAGAGAGAGTCAGCGTCGGGGTGTGTGTGAGAGAGAGAGAGTCAGTGTCGGGGTGTGTGTGTGTGAGAGAGAGTCAGTGTCGGGGTGTGTGTGTGAGAGAGTCAGCGTCGGGGTGTGTATGTGTGAGAGGGACAGTCAGTGTCGGGGTGCGTATGTGTGACAGAGTCAGTGTTGGGGTGTGTGTGTGAGAGTCAGTAATGTGGTTGTGTGTGTGAGAGACAGTCAGTGTCAGGGTGTGTGTGAGTGAGAGAGAGTCAGTGTCGGGGTATGTGTGAGAGACAGTCAGTAATGTGGTTGTGTGTGAGAGACAGTCAATAATATGGTTACCAGTTTTAATATTTCCGCATTAATACATCATGAGGATAAGAAAACTACCAGACTAAAGTAATGACAAATTGAGACGACAACATTTTTGACGATATGGAAGTTGAATTCACTTAATCTGAGGTTTTTTTCACAGATCATTGACATGCGTCACATAAAGGGAAAGAGATTTTCACTCAGGCTCAGGTTTCCTAGAAAGTTTGGCAAACATTGAGGCATTGTATGGGATCTTCTGAGATCGAACAGAGCTGAGGAAATGTCATATCCTCTGAGAGGTTGCAGTGAATGGAAGGCCTCTGACTGTACTAACTCACGATATGAAGACAGTACTCAGCAACCATGGCAATCAAACTATTAGGGCTTATTCTTTGCAATATTGTGATTAATTACAAAAATCTCATATTCCGAGCAATCACGTGAACGTAGCTTGGTCTGCAGTGTTGTGATTGTACAGTGGTTAGTGCTCAGTGCTGTGGCCACAGCAACCTCGGTTCCAATGCAAGTCACGGCAGTGATTGTTCACGGCATTTTAAAGGCTTTTGTGGTGCAGTGGCAGTGTCCCTACCTCTGAACCAAGAGTCCTAGGTTCAAGTCCTATCTGCTCCAGAGGCACGTCATAATGTTTCTGAATAGGCTGATGAGTAAAATATACATTACTGAGTGAGGCACCTTGTATTTTAAATGTTGATATTTTTCAATGAGGGGTTCGGAAGAACAAAATAGCCTCGATCAAGGGTCGGAAAGCGACAATGTGAGTGATCACTAAACAGACAGCAAAGCTATCACATCCGATGAACAACCTCCACAGTGGGTACATAAACGCATAAGAACCAGTAGCAGGAGTAGACCATCTGGCCCTTCGAGCCTGCTCTGCCATTCAATAGGATCATGGCTGATCTTTTCATGGCCTAAGTTCTACTTACCCACCCTCTCACCATAACGCTTAATTCCTTTACTATTTAAAAAATCATCTATCTTAGCTTTAAAAACATTCAATAAGGAAGCCTCAACGACTTCACTGGGCAGGGAATTCCACAGATTCACAACCCTTTGAGTGCACAGCTTTCTCCTCAATTCAATTTTATATTTGCTCCCTAATTTTGAGGCTATGCCCTCTTGTTCTAGTTTCACCTACCAGTGGAAACATTCTCCCTGCTTCTATCTTATCTATTCCTTTCATAATTTGTGATGTTTCTATAAGATCCCCCCTCATTCTTCTAAATTCCAATCAGTACAGTCCCAGTCTACTCCGTCTGTCCTCATAAGACAACCCTCTCAATTCTGGAATCAACCTAGTGAACCTCCTCTGCACCCCCTCCAGTGCCAGTACATCCTTTCTCAAGTAAGGAGACCAAAACTGAACACAGTACTCCAGGTGTGGCCTCACCATCACCCAATATAGCTGCAGCATAACCTCCCTGTTTTTAAACTCAATCCCTCTAGCAATGAAGGTCAAAATTCCATTTGCCTTCTTAATTACCTATTGTATCTGCAAACCAACATTTTAGATTCATGCACAAGGACACCCAGGTCCCTCAGCACAGCAGCACACTGCAATTTTTCACCATTTAAATAATAGTCCCTTTTACTGTTACTCCTACCAAAATGGATGACTTCACATTTATCAAAATTGTACTCCATCTGCCAGACCTTTGCCAACTCACTTAAACTGTCTATATCCCTCTGCAAATTTTCAGAGTCCTCTGCGCACTTTGCTCTACCATTCATCTTAGTGTCATCCACAAACTTTGACACACTGCACATGATCCCCAACTCCAAATCGTCTACGTAAATTGTAAACAATTGCAGTCCCAACACTAATTCCTGAGGTACACCACTAGTCACTGTTCGCCAACCAGAAAAACACTCATTTATCCCCACTCTTTGCTTCCTGTTAGTTACCCAATCCTCAATCCATGCTAATAAATTTCTCCCCACTACAGAAGTTAAGCTAACTGGCCTATAATTCGCCATCTTTTGTCTACCTCCTTTTTTAAACAGTGATGTCACATTTGCAGTTTTCCAATCTGCTGGAATGCCCCAGAGTCCATCGAATTTTGGAATATTACCACGAGTGTATTTGCTATTATTCCTGCCATCTCTTTTAGTTCCCTGGGATGCATTCCATCGGGGCTAGGAGACCTGTCTACCTTTAGCCCCATTAGCTTGCCCAACATTACCTCGTTCGTGATAATGATCATGTCCAGGTCCTTACCCCTACCTTGGTCTCCTTGTCATCAATTCGTGGCATGTTATTAGTGTCCTCCACTGTGGAGGCTAACACAAAATACTTGTTCAATGCCTCAGCTATTCCCTCATTTCCCATTATTAAATCCTCCTTCTCATCTTCTAAAGGACCAATGTTTACCTTAGGCACTCGTTTTCTTTTTATATATTGGTAGAAACATTTGCTATCTGTCTTTAT